AGGAAGGAGTGTGTGAAGGAGGGAGGAGTGTGTGAAGGAGGGAGGAGTGTGAAGGAGGAGGGAGGAGTGTGTGAAGGAGGGAGGAGTGTGTGAAGGAGGGAGGAGTGTGTGAAGGAGGGAGGAGTGTGTGAAGGAGGAGGAAGAGTGTGTGTGAAGGAGGAGGGAGGAGTGTGTGAAGGAGGGAGGAGTGTGTGAAGGAGGAGGGAGGAGTGTGTGAAGGAGGGAGGAGTGTGTGAAGGAGGAGGGAGGAGTGTGTGAAGGAGGGAGGAGTGTGTGAAGGAGGAGGGAGGAGTGTGTGAAGGAGGGAGGAGTGTGTGAAGGAGGAGGGAGGAGTGTGTGAAGGAGGGAGGAGTGTGTGAAGGAGGAGGGAGGAGTGTGTGAAGGAGGAGGGAGGAGTGTGTGAAGGAGGAGGGAGGAGTGTGAAGGAGGAGGGGAGGATTGCTGTGAAATGCTGTCTTCCGGACAGCTGTTGCCCTATGAGCTCACCACAGTTATGGTTTCCCACAGGATTGAGCTAACAAGATCAGCTCCCCTGCAGACAGCCCTAAGTATGGGCGGGAACCCCCCCCCCCCGAGATGGGGTTTCTCTGTAGCTTTGGTGCCTGTCCTGGAACCAGCTCTTGCAGACCAGGCTGGCCTGGAACTCATAGAGATCCGCCTGCCTCTGCCTCCTGAGTGCTGGGATTTAAAGGCGTGCACCACCACGGCCCAGTTCCATGGAATCCAACTCCCTCTTCCAGCCCCCATGAGCACCAGGCAAGCACAGGGTGCATGTGCATATCGGTAAAACAATTAGACACAAAAAAATAAATAAATACATCTTTTTTAAAAAGAGAAAGCTTATATTTTTTTAAAGGTATCTTGTTTGGTGATAGGTCACATGACTTCAGAAGGAGTCTTGTCTCACACCTGACAGGAAGTATTGCTACAGTGAGAGACCAAGGAGACACTGAGCACACATTCCGGCCAGGTCCTCCCGCTCCGCCTAGCCCCATTAGATCAGATCCCTTTGGTCCAGTCACTTTAGATACTTTAGAGAAGTTCTTTCTCCAACAGATCCAAGAGCTAAAATAACATCCCCAGGCTAGAGCTGGAGCTCAGCTGGCAGGGAGCTTGCTGAACATGCCCAAAGCCCTGGGCTCCATGCCCAGCACCACACGGACCAGGTTTGTTGGTGCACACCTGTAATCCCAGAGACTTAGGAGACAGAGGCTGGAGTATCAAACGTTCAGAGTCACCCTCATATATATACATCCAGTTTGAGGACAGCCTGGGCTACATGTTTCAAAAACAAAAACAAAAATAAAAAGTCTTTCCTGGGTTCCCTGGGTTTTAGATCTTCATCTCCAAAGTTTCTCGTGTCTTTAAACCAAGATTCAATGATTTTGCCATGCTACGAGAGTGCAGGCTAGCCCTGGGTGGGGTGAGGAAAGTCAGCATGCCTTTTCTGATCCTATGAAGGCCATGATGAAGTCTCTCATGATGCAAAAAAGAATGAAAATCAAACCACACCTGTTTGTGCTCGAGCATGGAGCCGCTGCTGACCCTGAGGAGGGTCGTTCCATGTGCCAACTGCTGTGGGGGACATGTGCTCACTCCTGCGTGAAGACATCCTTTGCACCAGTGATTCTTCCTCTGGGAATTTAACCTTGATCCATTTTATAGCTGTGCTCTGATATCACAAGGCTACTCCTGAAGGGGTGTTGAAATATAAGATTACAGATACACCAAAAGGATGTTTTAGGGTGGAATAAAATAACTTCCTTACAATATTGGGTAGAAGACTGTATATCATAAAAACCTCTGTAGTCTCCTAATTCTACAGGTTCAAAGCAATCTATTCAGCATTCCTAAAGATTGTATCAAACAGCTTATGAAGGCTTACAAAGAGATGATGATAAGAACTATTGAAGCAAACTTAAAAAAAAAAAAAAGGTCTACCAGAGCAACCTAATAGCCTCTGAAGAGAGCTGTGTGTCCATGGAGACATCATTCTGATCAGGTTAGTATTATGCAATAGCAGTGGAGAAGGATGGATTCCTTCTTAAAGAGATGTTATTGTAGTTCAAAGATATGACAAGGCCGAGAGGATAAACCAGCTGGCAAAATGCTAGCCTTGTAAGCACAGAGACGTGAATTTGACTCCCAGAACTCATGTTACAGAAGAGATGGCTGTAGGGATGCATGCTTGCAATAGTGATGTGTGTTGCAGTAGTGATGCATGTTTGCAATAGTGATGCGTGTTTGCAATAGTGATGCATGCTTGCAATAGTGATGCATGCTTGCAATAGTGATGCATGCTTGCAATAGTGATGCATGCTTACAATAATGATGCGTACTTGCAATAGTGATGTGTGCTTGCAATAGTGATGCATGCTTGCAATAGTGATGCGTGCTTGCAATCCCAGTGCAAGGGAGGCAGAAGCATGTGAAGCCTGGGGCTCCCTGGCTCACCTTCTCCATCAGTTCACAGGCCATCTGGAAACAAGAGGGGTGACACCTGAGGAACAACAGCCTAGTGTTATGCCCAGATCACGGAGTCCCCCAAAAACTTGGAGACCAAGTTCTGTATGTAAAAGCAAAGAGCCTTTATTCTTACACAAGTTTGCAAACTCGATCTCTCCATGTGTTCAGCATATTGGAGTGATCAGAGAGTCCCAAGCTCAGTTGGGGTTGGGTTTTTATAGTAACAAAGGTGGGGTGAGGAATTTCTAAAGTTCAGGACCCCCGATTGGCTGATATTTGTCTAGGAGTGTCTGGTGAAAAGCAATGGATATGTGCTGGCAGGTGATCCTATTTGCAATGGTTGGAATGTAGGAATTTCCTTTGGATGGTCTGTTCCTGGGTGGTGCCTGGGTAGTCTCAGTTTGTAGTCTTTCTTGGAATCAGAGTAAACTACTGAGACTCAGGCTTCTATTGAGCTTGTCATGACTGGGTGCTACACCAAGGTTGTCTTCTGGCCTCTAGGGGAGTGCACACACGTGTGCACCTGTAAGCACAAACCCGCACAAAGGCTGTGTGTGTGTGTGTGTGTGTGTGTGTGTGTGTGTGTGAAGCACCAGACCTGGTGGAACACATCTGTGATCTCCCTTAGGAGGCCGAGGAAGAAGGATCATTGCAGATTTGCAACCAGCATGGGCTACACAGGAAGACCCTGTCTCAATAAAAACAAATCATATATTAATGTGTTTATGTATGATGTGTGTGCACACACATGCGCGCGCGCACACACACATAACTCTGCAATCTGGCAAGGAGAGGACATTTAGTACCACCAAATTGACAAAATTAAACTGACCGAGGAACATTGGGACTGCCATCTACTTCAAAGTTTTATTTTATTTTATTTTATTTTATTTTATAAAAGTTAAACCAGGCAGAATTAAGCAATGTATTATTTAGAGCCACACAGCTATGTGGTAAGAATGCAGAAGAGAACGATAAAACAATCTTCTGGACCGTGTCGACCTTTGAGGGTGTAAGAGGGCGTGTGGAATGGTTTGGAATACCCACGATGCTTTAAAAATACTGAGAACAATCTGCTATTCCCTAAGTGGACAAGCTTTAACAAATAAAGGGTGCATAGTTCAGAATAATTATAGGAAGAACGAGGTGTGCTTAGAGCTCGGTTTGGTCTGACAGGCAACAGTGAGTTCAAGAAAGTTCTGTCTCCCACCCCAAGCAGGAGAGGGGACCCAGCACATTTCCAGTTTTATGTGTAATTTAGTCTATGTTCTGCCGCTAGCGTGTGTCCTATAGGACATCTTTCACAGGGATCACAAGAATCTAGCAGTAGCCACGGCTTCTGAACAGGAAGGGTGGGAAAAGGGCTGGGGTTTTTGTTGTTGTTGTTTTTGGGTTTTTTTTCCCCACTGTGTGCGGCTTGCATATTTTGAATTCGACCCCCTTGTGCACCAGTTACTTCCCAGAAGACTTTCGGGAGACCCGGAGATGAGACTGATGCTCCCTGGCTGATGAGGGCCTTTTCCAAGAGTCCTGTGGTGCTACCACTGTCTGGGACTGCACGGGTATGGGCTGCCTGTTCACACAGCACAGGAACTCAGGACTAGGCAGGAGACTGGACAAAAAGGAATCGGGGGCCACCGTTGTTAAAGGTGGACTACAGTCGAGTATGAGGACACACTGCCATCCCCATCCAGTGCAGGAATCAGGTCCTGGCTGGTGCTGGCTGTGGAAACTGGACGTCACTGCATTGTAGCCGGCTTGAAAGAGAACTAGGTCGGCCGAGCAGGGTCTGAACTTCACAACTTTCTGAGACGAAGACAGGGAGGACCAGGGAAAGAACCTTGGAGCTAGAGAATGACAGCCACCTCCAGCTGCGCTTTCCACTTCAACGTTGGGCCCAAGACCAAGCGAAAAACTACAACTCCCAGCAGCCACACACACACAGTGCGCAGGCGCAGAGCGGAGCGCTTTGGGGAAGAAACACACGCAGAGCAAAGACTGTCGGGAAGACGTGGCTCTAGGCCGCACGGAGCGAAATGGGACGCAGGTGCAGAGCAGAGGCTGCCGGGAGCGCGCGGCCGGAGTGGGGCGCAGGCGCAGAACAGAGGCTGCCGGGAGCGCGCGGCGGGGCGGAAGTGTCCGCCCGCCCCGTCCGGCCCTACACAGGTAGGCGGCAGCCCGCGGGCCCCGGAGCCAGGCTCTCAGTGGGTGAGTGACGGCGCGCCTGCGGCCGGGTGCCCTCCACCGCCGGGTTCTGGGGCCTGTCGCCGCCCGCACCCGTCCAGCCTGCTCCCGGCCACCTCAGGTTCCCTCCGCAGCTAGCCTGGGACCGGTGCCACAGACGGGAGAGCTCCCCTCTGATGAGTGTGTAGTGCTGTGCCCCCGAGGAGGAGTGGGAGACCTCTTCCTCTCCGGACTAGCACGCTTCAAGCCCCTAGCGACAGCCCCTTCTTCCCGCCCTGCCCCGCCTGGGCCTCCCCATTCTGACACTCGCTCGTATCTGTAACAGAGCCACGTATCCGCCCACCCCGTCCCCACCTGTAACTACCCACCTTCCTGCCCCCGTCCTGGCTCTCGTCTTCAATGAAGACTGCATCTTCCTCTGGACAGCACTATGCGCTGTTTCCTCTTACTACCCTCCCTGCCCCTTCTGCACACACCCCCTAGTTCTCGCCTGCACGTACAACCCGATTCTCAGCTGGGTTCTCGCAGCCTCCAAGACTGACAACCCCTGGACCATCCTTGTTGCTTGGTGTCCTAACCATCCTTCCTGCCGCGGGCACCCATGACACTCCTCCACCTGCAAGCATCCTTCCTGCAGTCTCTCAGGAGGACCCAGTAACCAGCTTCATTTCCCATTCCGGTCTCAGAACTATAGACTTGAAGCAGAGACCTGGGAACCTGGTCTCATGGTGTCAGTGGCATCTGGCTGGCCAGAACTGGCAAGCCCCTAAGACTTAACAAGGGGGCGTGCATGCAGAGCTGTGTTGGTAGCTCCTCCTCCCTGCCCCTCTGTGGAGCTTGACTGAGGACCATCTTTCTGGACTGGGCCCCACAGACCGTCCTTTTTGCTGCTCCCCAGATCTCAACGTGGCAGTCCTGCTGGGACCTGTGAGTCCACAGGCCCTCACTGCTGACCTCCACCTTCTGTGTGTCCCGAGGCCTGGTGGAAGGTACCTTGGAGGAGCCAGCCTAGTTCTTTCTGGATGAGACAAGGGATTTGTGTCACAGAGCGCCAGCTAAGTCTCCTTCCCTTTACAGTTGTGACCTTGCTTCCACAGCCTGCAGCTGCTCTACGGAGTACGTGAGAGCATTTTTACCCAGCTGCCCAACAGCACACCCCATCTGCTGTGCCCGCGGAGCAGAGGGCGTGGGAAGAAAGGTCTAGAGTATGCAGGCGGCAGGTGCCCCCTTTTCACCCTCTGCCTGAACGTGGCATGTGTGCCCGTGGAGCTCTCACAGACACGTGTGACCCTGTCATCTGAGTCTCCGACCGTCCTTCACAGCGGTGTGGCTGTTCTCAAGGTGGCTGTGCAGGTATGTGGTCCATCACGTTAGCAAGTGCTCTTGCAGGACGCGGGGCTGTCGTCTACACGCCTTCCTTTCTCTGCAGAGTGGAAGCCAGTGTGTGTGGAGAATTCCTGGCAAGCTTGTCTTAAATGCCAGCATCAAAGGAATTAGAGCCCTATATACTGATTTCACATAACTTATTTTCTTTTTTACCAACACAAGATAGTTGGCTAGGAAAAAAATACTTATTATTAATAAGTCTGCATGGAGCAGCGTTAGGGCTCCTCTTGGTGGACATTTCTCTCTTGAATCCCAGTTTCTCTCCAGTAGGCACAGCTATTGAGTGCTTCACCTGTGTCTGGTATGGGCAGGGACAGGAAATGAGGTAGAAGCTTAGGTCAGTGCCAGCACATCAAGAGTGAGCAACTGTGCGCAGTGAGGAACAGGTGAGCATGGCCCATCAGCGGATCCAGTCCCCGGAGCCTGCCCGGAGAGAAGCTCTGGAACAGTGCAGCTTGTGCCCCCAGGGTGAAAGCATGCATTCTGGAATTGAGTGCTGGGCTCAGTCGGTCTGGGACTGTCATAGCCCTGGTTTCAGGCACCCTGGCATCCAGTGTGTGGGGTGTCCCTTTGACCCAGACAGGGCACTGGGGATACAGATGAAGCGGATGGGACAGTGTTGTGATGCCACAGATGCAAACCAGGAAGGGTCCTAAAGCTTCTCTGCCCACCCTCGGAAAGGCCTGGTGTGAACTGTAGTGAGCCTCAAGTCAGCCACGTTGCCCCTGCGAATGCTACCTTGAGTATAAAAGGGAATCAAGGCGGAAATGCCTGACCTGAAACCGGGGAGGTTTTCTCAAGGGCAAATGTGACCTCAGGGCTCCTCAGACTGTAAGGGAGGCAGGAGAGCAAGAGGGAAAGGCTGCAAAAGCCACTGGTGGGTGTCAGTATTGCTGGCCCTAAATGGGGAGGAAGGAGCCACAGGCTGGAGTGAGGTAAGCCTTTGGGTGCTGGCAGAGACCAGGAAGTGGATCTTCCCCAGAAGTCTTGGAAAGGAAACCAGCCTTTGGGTGTAGCCCGGTGAGGCCAATCCAGACTGCTGCAGGCCTGGGAAGTAATGGTGTGTGATGTTTCTGCTACTATGCCCCCAGTAACTAGTTACAGCCCAGGAAAACAACACTCCTCTGAGAAGCTGCCCTAAAAACAAGCTGGAAAAAGTCCTACACCAATAGCACAGAAGTTGACTCAGGAGAGAATTCCCTCTGCCTTGTGTGCATGACGCTGTGGGGTGGGGTGCAGATGTCAAAGATCCCACACGTGACCTTTGAGGAGGAGCTGAGTGGCCTCCGTAGTCCCTGGAGCACAAATTTCCTTTCTTCCCGTCTCCCTGGACTGTCCACCTGCCCTACATCGGGCATGGAATTCTTAGGTACAATGCTAAGCTTGGCAAAGCCCAAAACCTGGAGCCAGCCTCCACGTCCAGGTGTCTAAGCGGTGGCTGTACACAGGTGTGTTTCCTAGGGACCTGCCATCAGAGACTGCTGGGAAGCTCTGGGTATCTGCCGCCTCCTTCCCCAGCAGTCTGCTGCTCAGGGGCTTTGTGCGGTACCGTGTGGTAAAGAAATGAGCTTCAGATTGAATAGACACATGAGGCCTGTCCCCTCTCTGGTGTGGAAGGAGTGGGACGCCCTTTCTGCAGGAGTGAGGAGAGAGGCAAGAAAATCACGCTAAGAATGGCCCTTCCTTGATCCTGGAGGGGAGGAGTCAGCTCTGGCAGCCGCCTTAAACCTGTTTGAGCTGCCACCTCTTACACACACTGGCCTCTTGTGGAGGAAGCAAGAGGGAGGAACGGGCCACCTTGGCTATAGTCCGCAGAGTGCTGTACAGAGCCAAGGTTGCCCATGGAGGTAGGTGCCCTCTGTGGCGTGGCTTTTCCTTTGATCATCTAGAAACGTCCTTTGGAGTGGACAGACAGATGCACGTGTCTAATGTGAGATATGGCCTTGTGTTTTATGTTGAAGTTAGCTCTTCAAGACTCACTGCATAAGAGGGGTGGGGAGGAAGGGGACCTTTGGATGCTAGGCACTTCTGATGGCTCTTTCTGGTCATGTCTGCTGGAGTAGGGTTGGCTCTGGCTCAGAGCCTGGGGAGACCACATCTGCAGGCCACGTTCCAGTGCCCCAGGCTGTCCTGAAGGAACTGTGACTTTACAGTGCTCAGGTCAGATGGACAAACTTTCTTGTCGCAACCATGTAGACTCCATAATGACCTCAGGGTTCCTGTGGGGGGTGGCAGGAGACAACCCCAAGCCTGTCCTTTCCTGGGACTGTGGTCTGTCTGGTCCCTTGCATCTACTGGCTCCTGTCTTGTGGCCTTGTCAGCATCTACAGCCACAGGACACAGTCAGTCTTGAGCACTAAGCAGCCATGGTCCAAGGACACCGGTGGAAAGGGAACTGACTTGAAACTGTCTTCCTAGAGAAGGAAAGGAAGACCAGCGGAAGGCCATCTAATGGGGATATTCACAGAGGCTTCTGGAAGGCAGGAGCTGTTTCTAGAAGCCTGATATTATGGAGAGCAGCACCCCCTCCCCTTTAATCAAAGGTATCTGAGCCCCATTGGTTTCCTGTCTCTCGCTCTCGGACAGTCCCTTCCCTTGAGGTATGGGTTCAGGTGGTCCTTGGGCCACCGTCCGGAGGGGTCTGGGTTCCTAGTGTACTATAGAGAATGACGTATACAGTAGTCTGAGGTGACCCGCATGTTACATACAGGTCTGGAGAGTCAGTGACCCAGAATTCTCGGTGTCATTGTCATTGCTACAGGGCAGAAATTAGGGTGTCTTGGAGCTCTTTCCAAAGGTTCTAGGGAGGAACTCATTCTTTGTCCTCCAGCTTCTCATGCATTTCTGGGTTTGGGGCCATATCAACACCCCAACCTCTGTCTCTGTGGTCATGTGACCTTCTCTCTACCCATTCCTCCCTGCCTTTTATACACACACACACACACACACACACACACACACACACACGAAAGCTCATCACAGAAGGCTGAGGCAGAAGAACTGTCTCGAGTTCAAGGCCAGACCCTGTCTCTACAAAGAGAAAAGAAATACCTATGATTGCATTTTTGTCCTGGACAGCTTTCTCATGAGGTCCTTAATCACTCCCTCAAAGTCTGAACTGGCGTGGAAGGCTCCTGGGTAGGGGATAGTGATGGTAGCAGCCTCCCGCGGGAGGGATGACTTGCTGGGCAAGAACACATGGCCAGAGAGGGTCATACAGTGACAGCATGGCTGTTAGGGCACTTTCTGGGGCTCCTGCATGGCCTGTGTTCTGCCAAGAAGCTGGTCTGCAGTCAGGGGAGGTGTCTAGGCTATAAAGACACCTGCTAGCCCCAGGGCCAGTAGAGAAGTCTCCCTGGCTATAGGAGGGACAGTGTAGCTCAGGAGTGCAGACCCGGGCCAGCGCAGCACGGTGGAAGAGAGCACATTGAGTGTGGTGCTCTTGAGATGCTGAGCAGGGCACTAGAGCGGCCAGGGAGACCTGCTCCTACATGGACTTGCATTCCTCTCTCTGTTCATGTCCCGGAGAAGACAGTCCAGGAGCACACATGAGTCAGCCAGGTGGACAGGATGTCTGCAGACCAAAGCAGGGGCCAAGGAACCCCTGTCAGCCCACTGGGGTAGCCCAAAGGGTCCCTTTCCCTGAACAGAGTTGTGGGGCTATGGGCTGTGTCCTGTCTCAGCTGCTCCAGGGGCCTCTTTGAGCAGGCGGGCTGGTGACTTGAGCAGTGAAGGTGTAGTGGCTCACAGGAATGCAGAGTGTTTTGAACACAGCCAAGTTTGCGGGTTGCAGAGACTGGGGATGATGACAGTTCATAGTGCGTAGCACTCTGTATAGTGATCATATCTGTTGGGCCTGTGGCTCACGCTGGGCAGCTGAGTGGCTTGTTTATCAAGTGGCCTTGATCTGGAGCAGTGCACTTTCAGAACGACTGAAGGGAACCTCACCATGGTGTTGATCTTTGACCCCTTCGGAAGATGTGTGCCAATTTTCTCTTGGCTGCAAGCTCTGAGCTAGGTGCCAGAGATGGAGCAGGAAGCCCTGACCCTATGGAGTTCTCAACAGAAAGAGAGCAGATGTGAGGAGCCTCCCAGGAACCCTGGGGGTGCGAGTGAATCAGCTATGCAGAACAGAGCAGGTCTCCTGGGCAAGGGGGTGGTGAGGTTTGCCCTGGAAATGAGGACCCTCATGCTTAGTGTTTAGGACCAAGAGGATGCCAGGGAGGACCAGGGAGCCCTCAGAGGTTGCATAGCAAGTAGGGCTGGCTACTGGGTGGCAAAGGGCTCTGAGGAGGAGAGTGGCTGCAGAGGACCAGGGAGACTGTTTGCATGGCGGGATGACTCGTGAGTCAGAGGCTTTTGATGGAAAATCGCCGCCATTGGGGAAGGCAGAGGAAGGTGCTGAGGCCACTTCTTGTCACTGTGGCAGTTTGAAGCATGACATCTACATAAAAGCTGCACCTTTTCTGTGGGTTTTATGAGAATTTTGACTTGGTGGTCGTGCTTGTGGGTTAATTGGCTTGAGGCTGGGGAACTCAGGCTTATATTTTGAAATAGTGTCTAAGGTGCAAGTGAGGATTGGAATGTGGCAGTATTTGTCACTTGGCAGAGCTCAGTACCACATCCGGGATAAGGATATACTACTGATACGCTGGGTCTAGCCGCCGAAGCCATGGCAGTAGGGAGTGTGTGAGGAGAGCCTGAGGGAGTCCCGAGGAGGCACTGCCAGCATGGGGTGGGGACACTTTGTTGGCACAGTGGCCCCAAAGGCCAGAGAGCCTTCTCCTGCCCTTGCTGAGCAGCCTACGGCATGGGGAGAGCACCTCTGCAGCCCCTGGACAGGAGAATCTTGTGGTTGGAGTACAGTGGCACCCACAAATGTCAGAGGAAGGACTGAAGGACTAAGAGCAGTGGCGGCCATACCTTCTGGGCAGAAGACACCTCTCCACCACAGTCAACACTGGTGTGGATGCTTTGTGGCACTGAACTGTTGTGGTCTGCTAGGAGCAGGCAGGGCAGGCAGCTGTGAGGAGGTAGAATTCCAGCTTCCTCCAGTGCTCTGGGCCTGTAGCTGTGCCATGGTATAGAGTCCAGCTTGGACCTGGAGCCAAAAGCATGCCCCAAGTTGTACGGTATTGAGTGCTGAGAGACAGCACCAAAAACAGTAGTAGAGCGTTTGTGCTGCCTACACATCTTTGTGTTGAACATTACAGAACCTGCCCGGAAGTAAAGGCTCAGTGACCCCAGTCTGATACAAGGGAGGCCCTGCCTGGGCAGTAGCCTAGGGAGCAGGGTGGTTAGAGAAGATTTCAAGAGACAAGTCAGGCTCATATCTGCACGTCTGTTAGAGCATCTGCCAGCTGCAGGCACTAGCCCTCGCCTTCCGTCCCTTCTGCTTTATTACTTTGGAAACACTTGTCATCCTGCTGAAGAACAGCTGACCTCCATGCTGGGGTCAGGGTTTGGCCAGTACACTACCGCCATGAAGTACTGTCTCTGCTGAATGAGGCTGACTCAGGACTGGAGAAGTGTCCTCCAGAGCTCACTGCTGCTCTCCTCTCCCTGATCTAGGTCCTGCCTAGTGCGCAGTCTGATGCCCATCCAGCCCTTTGACCACCGGGAATGGAATGAGCCTATGCACTCCCTCCGGATCACTGTAGGGGGCCTTCCTGTGCTGGCATCCATGACCAAGGCCACAGACCCTCGCTTCCGCCCCCGCTGGAGGGTGATCCTGACTTCCTTTGTGGGTGCTGCCCTCCTCTGGCTGCTGTACTCCCATCATCAGGCCCCAGTACCGGGCAGATCCTCCGCCCACAATGCACACAGCCGGAGGTTCAGCCCGGATCATGTGTCTCGCTACAATGACACATACCCCCTGTCCCCGCCACAGAGGACTCCAGGTGGGACTCGCTACCGGATCGCAGTCATTGCTGACTTGGACACAGGGTCCAGGGCCCAGGAGGAGAACACTTGGTTTAGTTACCTTAAGAAAGGCCACCTGACCCTGTCAGACAGTGGGGACAAGGTGACTGTGGAGTGGGATAAAGACCATGGAGTCCTGGAGTCCCACCTGGCAGAAAAGGGGCGGGGCATGGAGCTCTCTGACCTGATTGTCTTCAATGGGAAACTGTACTCTGTGGACGACCGTACAGGGGTCATCTACCAGATCGAAGGCACCAAAGCAGTGCCCTGGGTGATCCTTTCTGATGGTGACGGAACCGTGGAGAAGGGTAAGTAGAGCCAAGGCTATGTCCATTGCCCCCCTTGCTGCTTCTGGGACCCGGGTCCTCATCGTGTGCTCCTAAGACAAAGTGTGTCATAGACAGTATCACTCTCGGCAGGTGCTCACCTTCAAACTGGATACTCAGTGGTTCACCGTGATCTCAGGCTCTAATCAATTTATTGGGGCCACAGGTCGGTGCTGCTACCCAGGCTGCTGTGAGCCCAGTCCAAGGGTCTCTGTGTGGAGCAGCAGTGACACCTGAGCCCCATGTGTAGCAGAGAGGAGCTGCTGCCCCTCAGGGTAGGGGACAGCAGATCTGCTATGTCCCCACAGCAGACTCCTCAGGTGGAAGGAGAGCTGCCTTCGTTGGCCCTCTCACTGCCTGCCAGGCCTGGCCTGGGTGAGGAAATCACTAGTGTTTGTCCAAGGCTGGGCTCTCGGGAGAGGCTGTCTCCACCTGGGTTGGGTACAGTGATGGTGTTGCTCACCCATTTCCTGCCTGTAACCTTCGGGGTATGGGGTGGCTTTCCCCTGAGTGGGAAGAATGCTGGATAATGGGGTACTGGGGGCTGATCTGTGGTTGTTCATCCAGAAGGGCCCAAGTCTGGCAAATGGAGCAGCTTCTCATGGAGGCAGCTCAGAAGACTCATGCGGTCACTAGGGCTACAGGAATCATGCCAGTCCCTCCAGAGTCACTCCGGGGGGTATCAGGGGCCTCCGTCCTTCTACAGTCGGGAGGCAGGTGCAGCTTTGGCCTCCCAGGGGCTAGGGAGCGTGTAGAAGATAGAGAGCTAGCCTGTGGGAACGTCAGGAAGGAGAGTTCTGGAGTAAATGCTCTGAGGTGAAGGCGAGGATGGTGAGGGTTGCTGCCTAAAGACCTAAAGATCCTAAAGACCCTGTTCTTCTACTTCCTTCCCCGGCTGTGGGAAGAACAGACCCACACAGTGGTGGCAGGTGAGAGGCCGGCAATGGGTGGTCCTCAGTGGCAGGTGACTGGCTCCACAGAGCACTTGGAAGCTCGGATTGCTGCAGCACAGGAGGTCTGGGATGGTCTAATGCAGGTCTTGAGCTGTCGCCCAGGAGACAGGCTCCTTGGAAGAAAGGGGGTAAGAAAGAAGAGGATGTGGACTCGGGGACCCACTCTGGCTCTGCCAGGCTCCCTTCAGGGCCTCTTATCCCAGCCTGCAGTGAACCTCAAGGAAGGTAACTTGTGACATCCAAGAGGCTTGGCACCACTCTGGATGCAGTTGACACTAGCACAGGCAAGAGCCAGGCTGGGCGTGGGACATGGGGCCCAGGGTCTCAGGCTCGCCCCTCTTGTTGCTCCAGGATTCAAAGCTGAGTGGCTTGCTGTGAAGGACGAGCACCTGTATGTGGGTGGCCTGGGCAAGGAGTGGACCACCACCACAGGGGAGGTGATGAACGAGAACCCCGAGTGGGTGAAGGTGGTAGGCCACAGGGGCAGCGTGGACCACGAGAACTGGGTGTCCAGCTACAATGCTTTGAGAGCTGCCGCTGGGATCCAGCCGCCAGGTAAGGCATCTTCCTAAGAGGTCCCAAGTATAAAAGACTTCACAGCCGGCTCAGGTGTGTTGGGGACAGTCATTCGCTGTGTCCAAAGGTCGCTTCTCGTGGGGGTAGATTCTGAGACAGAGAAGCCATTTCTGTTTCTGTTCCTTACTAGTTCAACAGATGGCCTCTGCCCACTAAAGTCCCCTCACCTACATAAAGTGTTCTTCATTTGGGGGTCACGGCCCTCATAAGCAGAGGAGGAGATGGGTAGGGACTGAGGTGCCTTCCCCTGGGCTCTGAGTGTGACCTTTGTCTGAAGGAGGCTGAGTCGGGTGTGGGACAAAGTGCAGGGAGCCAAGACCCAGAGAACTCTTCCGTAGGTGCTTCACCTCAGCTTCATGGCTGCTGCTCTGCTTGCTGGGTTTCCCCTTTTGACTCTCTGACCTGTGTGCCCTGTGATCAGCACCAAGGGAAAAAAAAGAACTGGTGAAGGCTGCAGCCCCTATGGGGACCTGAGGGCAGCTAGTGGGGACATGAAGCCCTGCCCACTCAGCGTTAGGCTCTGGCCGTGCTGTGTCTGCACATGGCCCAGATCAGCTGTAGGCTGTCCTCCAAAGGTCTGGGGATTATTGCAAAGGGTGGAGTGAGACCATCAAATGTCGTCTCTGGGATGGCAAGACTGTGATGTATGGTGACTGTGGGTCTGTGCTGTGACCCCAGGCTACCTCATCCACGAATCCGCCTGCTGGAGTGACACGCTGCAGCGCTGGTTCTTCCTGCCACGCCGGGCCAGCCACGAACGCTACAATGAGAGGGCCGATGAGCGCAAGGGCAGCAACCTCCTGCTGAGCGCAGCCCCAGACTTCAAGGACATCTCCGTGAGGCGTGTGGGGGAGCTGGTCCCCACACATGGCTTCTCATCTTTCAAATTCATCCCTAACACTGACGACCAGATCATCGTGGCTCTCAAGTCAGAAGAGGACAGTGGCAGGATTGCCACCTACATCATGGCCTTCACACTAGATGGCCGCTTCCTGCTTCCAGAGACTAAGATCGGCAGTGTCAAGTATGAAGGGATAGAGTTCATCTAGATGAGTAAGTTCCCATGCCTGGCAAGGTGTGGGCAAATCGCCTGAGGCACCGCCAGGACTCAATTGCATAAAAACCAGAGGAACACACTTTGACTTGTTTGTTGTTTTCTTTTTTAACTGAGCTGTATGCCTGGATAGAGGTTTCCAGAATAGGAAACTGAGTCCCAGGCCATGTGACACAGCTTCACGTTCTGAAGCTGGGAGCGAGGGCAGGCAGGAGTCCTGTACAGGAAAGGCCTGGTCTCTGCCTACCCATGCCTCACTCTGCACTGCCACCTTGTGGTGGGATTGGTCACTGCTGCAGGTGCCTTTTGAGCACTGGCCTTCAAAATCCAGCCACGCCTCTCCTTTCCTCCATCTCTTGCCTAGGTCTCTTGCCTTTCCGAGTTCTCTGGCCAGTAAGTATCTGAGGCAACAGGTGTGCTGAGTCTCAGCCTCACCCTGGGAGCACAAGGCAGTTTGAGGGTGGGACTGCCAGATAGGCACTCCAAGGCACCCCTCTTCCTCCTGTGTGCAGACCCTTGGAAAGTGTTTACACGGCAGGGCAAGGGCCCCACCCCTTGGGACACACCTGCCCACACTGCCGAAACCGTTCTAGCGCAGGATTGCTGCTTCCCATGGCCCTTGGGAGGATCTGGGGCTGTGCAGGCCTTTGAATTATTAACTTATTTTTATTAAGGTAATTTCCTTTTCTACAGAACAGTCACCAAGTCTTATCACACAGTGAAGGTGGAGTTCCCACGTCTACTCCCTGCAGCAACAGAATCATCAACATAGCCGCAATGGCGAAATTATCTTTTACAGAAAGGGTCTCTGGATCCTTGGCCTCTGCCTTCTAGCAACTTCAGAAGCTGCCATGTTTTCCCTTCCCAGCAGTGGCTGAGGGAGGGCTCTAGAGACCTGTCCCTGTTGTCCCCTGCATTTTTTGCTGGCTCCCAGTGAGCATTTAGCAGCCTTCTCCTGTTTTCTGTCACTTTCTGTTCATGCTCGAGAGCAAAGGCTGCAGAGTCAGGGTCAGAGGTTGCCCTGTAGGTAGCAGCCACCTTAGTCATCCTGCAACGCCCTTAGGCTAGGACACAGGTACTGCCGCGGGCACAGGTCTCTGGTAGCCCTCATAAGCCCCTTCCTCTGGGAAGCGAGGCAGACCACTGCCACTGGGGCTCTCACTACCCACATGGCAGCCTGTTGACTGGTGACGGTGACATCTTTGTGTACTGTCTGTGTGTTGCTGAGAGCTAAGCCATACCTCTTCGATGTGTGTCAACTGTGTTCGAGTGTGCTTCTAAACTGAAAGGGAGCCGGGCGGTGGTGGTGCACGCCTTTAATCCCAGCACTCGGGAGGCAGAGGCAGGCGGATCTCTGTGAGTTCGAGATCAGCCTGGTCTACAAGAGCTAGTTCCAGGACAGGCTCCAAAGCCACAGAGAAACCCTGTCTCGAAAAACAAAATAAATAAATAAATAAATAAATAAATAAATAAATATAAAATAAACTGAAAGGGAGAAAGTGGACCCTGTGGAGTGACACAGCACAGCCTTCACCTTCCTTTCCCTGACAGAAGCAGAGTGATTGTGTCCTTCCCTCCCTCCATTTGTTTTGTAAACAATAAAGTGTCAGGGGACTGTGCTTCTCTTGTCTTCTGTGTTGGCTGTTGCCAAGGGCTCTGTCCCAATGTGTCTAAACAAGTGGGGTTGCAAGCTTTGGGGTCATGATAAGCTCCTCACAACTCCAGGCGTGGATCTCGGATCTCACGGCAAGAGCAGTGTGTAAGGCTGTCTCCAGCACTTCAGACTCTGTCCCACCCCACCTCTCCCTGTTAAACCCCGGTGTCTGTACTATGTGCTGTACAGTACTACGCCTGTAGCTCCTGACCATCCTGTAGTGTGCAAGCTAGGGAACCCAGCTGAGAGACTTTAAAAAAAATCACATGCACAGAGAGAGAGACTTGAAACATGGGTCACTCTTGATACAAGAATGCCAAGTTTATTGTGCTCAGGGGAAGCTTATAAAGGGCTCTGGCCACGCCCCAGCTCTCGGAATCTTTCAGCTGCAGACCCACCAGCCTGCCATCAGGGTCCTGTGCTCAGAGCAGCTGCAAGCATAGGAAAAACAAGCTGCTCACAGGGGACTTCAGGGTCCAGGGGTCCACAGCCCCCAATAGCTTCCAACATCTCCCCACTCTGTCTGTTACTGAAGTCAGGACAGATCCTGAAGTGCTGGAGACTGGACCACAGCAGTCACAAGCCAGACTTGGTGTCCCAACCTCCACAGAGAATAGCAGAGAAGGGTTTACTCAGTGTGGTCACCTTGGGCAGAGAGACAAGGAAAAGACCCAGTGTGGGCCAGTAAAGCAGCTCAGCGTGGACAGTGCCTGCCATACAAACCTGACAGATTGCCCCTTGGAACTAATTGCCAATACCTGTTCTCTAATGTTCATATGCCTCCCTTTGGCACCTGGGCTCACACACACAGAGAGAGAGAAAGAGACAGACAGACAGTGGCTCTTCAAGTCCATCTTCGGGTTCCTGGCATACAGTTATGTTTAAATAGAGGGCAAGAGTTACGCCTGGTCATGGTGTGGTCCTGCCCATCACTGACCCATCATTGTGTCTGGCCCTGGCTCCTGGACTGTCCGGTCAGACCATGTGGACGCCTTCCAGGAGACAAGGGTCTCCTCTGGCTGGCACCAGGCCTCAGCTTTTCCTTCCTCAGGTGAGGCCCCTGGGAAAATTACAGTTTCTTGCAATCCACTACCTCAGTTTTCTGGTTGGCAGAGGGAGGGATGTGGCTATCTGTCTTTGCCCTCCCTGTCGTCCAGCTTCTATGCAGGTCATCCTGGAACCACTGCCCTGGGCTGCAGGGACCAGCGTGCACACAAATGATGTTCACATGCCGGTCATTTGAGTGAGGGCACCAGGCCTGGAGAGTTTGCTGACAGATGACCGCAGAGCTTGTGGAGACATGTCCCTCCGAGGATGCACACAAGTCCCCAGGCTGAGGCCAAGAGCACACCAAAGGAGTGAGGAAGTTACCAGTGTACCACCCCTTTTCACGAGAGATTCCCCTAAACAAAGACTGTTTGGTCATACTTCACCCTGTTACCTTAAGAGACCATTTTCCATTTAGTGTTAAAAAGCAAAGAAAATCATGGGTTTATTCTGTGGCCAGAGAATGGAGAAGTAGGGCCTGGCTTCCAAGGCTGGGCGTGGGAGGCCACAAATGCAAAGCAAAAGAAACGAGAAGCCAGGAGGCCCCGTGTCTTCCGGGAATTGGGCATTTCTTTTGGAGGCTTCTCTTCTGCCAGGGTCTCCGTGATTGACAGCTGTCTTGGCGCTGAGGCTCTTGTCTCTTACTGTGCAGACAGTATTGGGAGGGAACTTGGGATCTGCTAGAATTCACTCACTGTGCCCCAATCTCTTCAGGGCATTATCCCGAAGAGGCCATTGTAACCTCCAGGCCCCTGTTAAAGATGATCACAGTTTGGGGGCGGGGGGGGGACCCTGGGCTGTAAAACTCAACATCTGTACTACTCGCTATATGGTACTACGCCTGTGGCTGCTACAGGTCAGCACGCGGCCGGGAACTATGCTGAAGACTTAAAAACGCACGCACAGACAGAGGAACATGGGTCATCCTTGATACAAGAATGCCAAGCTTATTGTGTTCAAAGGAAGCTTACATAGGGCTCTGGCCACGCCCCAGCTCTCTGTGTGCTGCTCAGAGCAGAGGAAAACAAGTTGTTCACAGGGAACTCAGGGTCCAGGGGTCCCCACACTGGGCAGCTGAACTGGAAGCAGGGCCACTTGTCCCCTCAGCTTGTTCTTCCCTACATTTACTCTGGGACTCCGGATGCATCATGGAGTTGCTGGGGGGAGCTCAAGTTCCTGGAGCCTGGCCTCCTGGAAATCCCCGTGTTGCAATGTCTGGACCTATGCAAGACCCATCCTTTGACTTTGGAGTGACCACAGAGCAGCTGGGCCTGCTGCAGACCACACATCTTGTGATGACCCTACCCCTGTGACCTAGCATCCTTCCCTCCATGGGAAGCATAGGGCTCTGGGCCCCCGCTGTCTGATGGGGCTGACCAGGAATGGAGGCATCAGACAGGCCAGCACCCCTTCCTCCTTTTCACAGTCTGATCCAAGGTGACAGAAGCCACGAGTTAGCCCCCAGTTCATCAAGCTTGGACATCTCTGTAAGGTCAGGCCTGTCTCTGCTTATAGCTCTCTGCATGGTTTTCCCAGGACTACTCCATAGACCCTGGAAACAGCATCTCAGCCAGTCATTGAGTTCTGACCTCTGGGCTCTGGGGCTCAAAACTTTGGGGTAAATCCAAAGTGCTTTCCAGAATTTCCTGGGGTTTCCAAAACACCAGTGCCTCTCTCCCACAGACTGATGTGAACATCAGTGTCTGTCACAGGTAATTCTGGCCGGCCCCTGTTGGTGTTCTATACCCAGCCGCACGGGGCCCTCAGGAGACTACAGTACTGTCAGGCATGTTTGGGAACTCAGCATGTCTGCTCACCACTTCCTCTCTGGGCTTGGTGCTCCCAGGTCTCGGGGCCTCCCTGTTGTCATGCCTGGGTCACAGAGCCCAGAGCACAGGGATGAAAGGATTTAGAATTGGTGTAAAAGGTTTAGTAAAGAATAACACTTGGGGATGGCGCTGGAGAGAACGCTCAGCTGTTGAGTCCATTCCCAGCACCCACAGCTCAATCATCTCTAGCTCCAGTTCCAGGGCATCTGACGCACGTGGTGTGCTAAATACAGACAAAATGTGCACACACGTGAAATCAGTGAACCTTAGAAAACAGAGGACGCTGAGGACAGTAAACAGCAAGTGAACTGTAAAAGAATCATACAGCTGAAAAGGAGCAGGTGATTGTATACCAATTAGAAGTCACCTGGCCTTGCCTCCTGGGCCGTCAGTGACAGATCCTTAGGGCAGAGTTCACCAGGACAGCTCAGTGTCTTGAGGTCCTAACTCTAGAGGCAAGGGTGAGGCGCAGGGGTGGTTAGGAATTAGGCCCCCACTGCATAGCGTTATCATAAGTCTGGGGAAGTTAGCCTTTTTAATGTTTTATTTTAATGTGTTTTATGCGTACAGTTGCTTTTGTCAGCGTGTATAGATGTGCCCCACATGTGTGCCTGGTGCGTCATGGAGATCAGGAGAGGGCATTGTGTCCTTTAGAACTGGAGTTATGGGTGGTCGTGAGCCACCGTGTGGGTGCTGTGGCCTGAACCTAGATCCTTTGCAAGAGCAACAAGTGTTCTTAGCCTCTGAGCCGTCTCCCCAGGCCTCTCTGATTTTTATTTAACTTTTTACACTTATTTACCATCTGTGCCCACATGTGTGGACATACATGCCATGGTACACATGCAGAGACCTGAAGACGACTTACAGGAGTCAGTTTTCCCCTGCACTGAGTTCCAGGGATCAAACTCATATCACCAGGACTGGCTGCAAGTGCCCTTACCCACTTGCTATGCAAACTCTGCCCCCCAATTAAAAGTAGGTGCCGCCATGCCTGATTAGCCATTTTTCCCCTTTAAACTAGGTATTATAGGAGCCTTCTAAGATTTAATTTTTAAAAATGTGTGTATTGTGTGTGTACGCTTGAGTGTGGGTGCCCACAGAGACCACAAGTATCAGATCTCCCTGGAGTTGAGTTACTGGCTGTTCTGAGCCAACCAACATGGGTGCTGGAAATTGAATTCAGGTCCCATGTAAGGAGAGGTCATACTCTTAACCACTAGTCCACCCCAAGATCCCAGCCTTGCTTTCTACCTTTGGCTTTTTGTCTCTATATCTGATCCTCAGGCGTGACGCACTCTGGTCCACACACCAGCACGGTAGCTTTGTGCACGAGCACAGCCCGCCTCCCCAGGTCCAGGCAAGGATTGCGCAGCCCACATCCATGCTCATAGACACAGTCTGTTCCTGAGCCTCTGCTCCCAAGCCCACATGCATTACCTTCCCAGCACCTCCATGCTGTCCCCCCCACACACACAGGGTGCCTGCCTGGACGTGCATCTGGCTGGTCAAACACAGCGTAGCCTAGGTGCCTGAGCATTGCTGTTTTATCTGCTCAGCCACAAGGCACTTGGGTGCCTGCCATCCCCCCAGCAGAGCAGTGAACAAGCAGAGGGCTGCTAGCCTTGTCTGCAGCCAACCCCAGGAGCGGCCTCTGTCATGTGTTTTCTGGAAATCGAAAGCAGGCTAGGTTTATAAAGCATTTCCTGAGACAACGCTGAGAAAAACCGCATGGTGGTGCCTCTCTCAGGCAGACAGTCTACAGCGGTCTTCTGATTGCAGCCAGCAGGAAGGCTCCGGGACCACTTTCAGCAGCTGACCCTACAGACGGGTAACTACTGTCTCTCACTTCCAGGTGAGTCCCCAGTCCACACGGCATGATCCCTAGCCGGCCACTGAGCACGGGACCCATTGTGCTCCTCCTCCACCTGCAGGGCTGGTGTACAGTTGGGCCTGCTGTTTGCTGAACAAGCATCAGCTGAAGGGAGAAGTGGCTTGGAATTGAGCCCTCGGCCCTCTCCTGGGTCTGTGGACTCTCACCCAGGGCTGTGCCTACCTGCAGAGCTACTGTATGAGCCAGCATAGGCAGAC